TATATATATATCATTTTTTAAGGAGCAGATATCATAAGAATTTTTTTCTTCTTCTGCTGCCTTTCATTTTATTTTGTATTGCTTTGTTGTGTGTGAAATGTTTTTTTTAATGAAATGAATAAATGAATTTGAYTTTGACTTGTTCTGACCATAAACCCCCCTGCATACTTACAAAGATGTGGCAGAACAGACAGGTGAGACAGGCAAGAATACAGGTGTGCGAGTAAACAGGTGGACAGACAGGTGTGCAGGCGAACAGGTGGTCGGGTGGACAGGTGAGACAGCCAGGTGTGCAGGTAAACAGGTGGTCAGGTGGATGAACAGACAGGTGAGACAGCCAGGTGTGTGTTGAAGGTGTACTGGCCCTGGTACTCCTGCACACAGAGGCAGAGCTGCTGAGGGGACAGGTGGACAGGTGAGACAGCCCCACGGGGCAAGTGGATGGATGAACAGACAGGTGAGACAGACAGACGTACCTTGAGGATGTACTGGCCCTGGTATTCCTGCACACAGAGGCGGAGCTGCTGAGGGGACAGGTGCATCGATCGGCTCTTCTTTCTGATGGATTCGGCGATCAGCTGCTCAGGTAAAGTGTCATGACTCACCTGAATACAAACACAGGTCAAAGGTGAAGTGACGGATCACAGCAGAGCTTTCTTAGTTACACTATCATGATGTGGGGTGTGGAACTGAACTAAACTGGACTCAGGATTGCCGCTTTTTAAACCTCAAATTACATTCAAAAAAGAAAAAAAATGTAGATTTTGTTATGGCAATATTTATTTAACAAAGACAGAAATGCGTGGTCCAAGAATGAAGGTACTCCATGAGATGATCAGCTGAGTTTTATTGCAACAACAGGAAACACAGAGAACCTGGCCTGTCTCTGTGTTTCTGCTTCTCTCTGTCACTCCACACTACTGTTGAACTCTGTCTCAAGAGGCCTCATATATGTACTGTACTGTATATTAACAAACACCATGTCCAAATCAACTTAACTCTCATCTTCCAGCCCCAGGAACTAAACCAAGATCTACAAAAAGTCACAGAGCCCCAACACCACCTCTGACCCTCCGACACAACAAAACAGACAATCCTGTTTGTGTTCAAGATGATCCAAAGACTTTTGTGTGATAACTATGTTTTGGGGTTAGTAATTACTGTGGGAGGAATAAAAATTGAATTTCTGGGGTTGGGATTTCAGAAAAGTACATATACTTAGGTTTATGTTGACATGTTTTTTATATACATTAAAGAGTTTTTTTTGTTTGTTTTATTGATCATTTAATTGGTAATTTAATGATCAGATGGGGGAGTGTAATAGAACTGATACTTTTATGTTTAAGCAAATAATTCATGACATCCTTTAATGACCTAAGTTTTCATGACATGCTGTTCATCTGCAGACAGAATGATTAAAGTCAGAACATGATTTGCTAACAACAGTCATTCTTAGATATCACTTGTGTTTATCTTTGTGTTTTCCATTGACCTTGTATCAAATCTTGCTAAGATGACAGAATGGTGTTTGTTAATATATATATGAGGCCTCTCGAGAAACAGTGGAGAGACAGTGACAGAGAGAAGCAGAGGCACAGACACAGGCCAGGTTGTTCTCTGTGTTTCCTGTTGTTGCAATAAAACTCAGCTGATCATCTCACGGAGTACCTTCATTCTTGGACCACGTATTTCTGTCTTTATTACCATAACAATTYATTTTTAGAAATTCTAAATGGCTCAAATATCAGTAACAATACTGACATTAAATGTTCAGCTTAAATACAACACATGAACCTTTTCAAACCTACAGGATAACTTTAGCATGCTTACAAACTAACCTAAAGTCACATAGTTAGTGGTTTAAAACCTGTGTAATGCAAAACTTGTGTTTTAACAAACTACTATAAAGTTTTTGAGATTAGAGTTAAGAAATTGATTGAAGCTACTCTGGATTTTGTTTTCTGTCTTCTACTCCAGTGGTTCCCAACATTTTTAGACTTGTGTACCCCTGAGCCATTTTGTCATACCACTAGTACCCCTTCAGTCAAATGTAATGATGATTCTCCAAAACTATAATGTACAACTGAATGAAAATTATTTATTTAACCCTCTAGAACATTTAGTTCTCAGGCACTTTATTCTTTTCCAACTAAAATTAAACAAAGATAAAAATTTTGCCTTGAAAGTGAATAAGTAATTAAATAAATAAACCAGGTAATGGCAGGTGCAGGAAGCAGCAGCATCCAGAATACATCAAATACCCACAAATGAGTAAAATCCATAAGATTCTGCATTTTATTTGTGTTAWTTCCCTGATTCTGACTGCAATTTCCACATTGAGGAAATCATTCTTCGCACACCTAGGAGATTTTTCCACGTACCCCCTGTGATATGCTCRCATACCGCCGGTTGGGAATCACTGTTCTAGGCTAAAAAAAACGAGTTAATTCGTTTTCAATCTGTTTCCAATTTCTGTAATAAAACAGTTTGTAATACCAGTCTTGAATTTTGAATATTCAAAATTAAAAGTATTAAGAATAAATTTACAGAATCAACTCTACTTTATGTTCTGTTGTTTATGGTCAGAATAACTCTGAATGTCCTCAGAGACCAGAAATTGAAGGGAGCTCACGCTGGTTCAGTGTTAAATCATGATTTGTATCACTAGCTGATGGTATTACTGATCTCCAGTAAGGACAAGAGATTCTGAACCGGTCTGGAATAAAAACTCTTAGAAATTCGGATAATTGGAATTCACCATTATGAGGTCCCAGTGAGACTTTTAAGGTGACAAATCAGCAGTGTTGACCTGTACCAAAACAATTGTGATTATCTRAATCTGGCTCCCATGTGTCGGCCCTGAAGGCAGGATATCTCAAACTCTCCTTGATGTTATGTCAACAGATGCTTTGCCCACCCCTCCCCCCATGGTCTCATTTCACAGATGGACACAAAACATTTTCACGGCTTTAGATTGAATTTTTTTTTTTTTGGAAAACTCATATTGTGTCCTTGTAGGGACACGGTATTTAATCTCTCATCTATCTTCTTTCTTGTTTTTCTTTGATGCAAAAGGGCAGTGCCTTTTAACGGCTGCAGCCTCAGGCACCCGCCCTCCGTGTAGGTTTTGTTTTGTCTCTCTCGGATGGGTTGTACTTAAATGTTTTGCATTGTGATCTGTACAATGACAAATAAACTGACTCTGATATTGACTCAACATCTTTCTCTAGGCTGAGACATCAAAGACACTCTGAGACTGAACCAAACCARCATCTGCTTATTTTTTACCTTCAGTGTGTACTTCTGCTTGGAGTTAGATGGAGACACAATCACCCAAATGGTTACAATCAACCGACCTGCAGAAAGATGTGTATTCAGAGGGCACAGGTAGGGACACATAAGTTCAAGTGTGACTCGGTACCCAGCAGGGTAGCAGGGTCAGTACCTTTGTCAAGCTTGCTGTAGATGTGCTGTGGAAGATGGGGGCTAGACTCCACATTAGGGGGGTAAACATAGAGTGCCTGGCTGTGGGCCCCGCCTCCCTCCCTCTCCTCCACAGCCTCTCTGCACACACCAAGTATGGAGCGACGGAAGTCCTGCACCTCTGGGTCCTTTAACATCTCAAATTCACAGACCGGCATCCCGATGGCAAAGCCTGCGAAAAAAGATCGCAAGTCTGGACGAGGGTTTTTATCTGAGTGATGTCAGAGGAAAAGAGGGAGGTCCTACCGATCTCTCGGTTCAGAATCTTCTCTTCGCGGTTTCCTAGCGGCTCGATAACCTTCAGGATTGGGTGAAACAGTCGTAGATCGCACAGACGCCGTGTCTCATCATAAAACTCTTCCCTCTCTGCCTCCTGGGTCACGCCTACAAAAATGTAGCACGACTCCTCCTGGCCAAGCAGAAATTGGACGTTAGGGTTGCAGTCTGACCAGTGTAGAGGGTGAGGTCACAGCTGAGGCTAGCTTACCTGCAGCAGGTGGTAGAGCGGGTACTTCCTGGCCTCCGTGAAGAGCTGCTGCTTGATGCTGATGAGGGGAGTTTCTCTGAGGCATTCCAGACTCACCATCATTCCTGATGAACCAACACAGGAAACACGCAAGTAAAACAACACATAGGAACAAAAAATACAAGTAAGTACAAAAAAGTTAAGTGTAAAATTTGAATGAAAACTTCTGGGATGGCCAGCTGATAGACAGTCTCTCCAGTGTGCCCAAAACACATCTCTAGGAGGGAATCCATGGATGCAGGAACCACCTTAACTAATTCCTCTCGATGTGGAGGAGCAGTGTCTCTTCCAGGAGTCTCTCCCAGATAACTGAACRTATCTCTGAGAGTCCAGCTACCCTGTGAGGAAAACATATCTCAACCATCCAAGACCTAGTTCTTTCTGTCTCTACTCAGAGTTTGGGACCATAGGTGAGGATAGGAATGTTGCTCGACCAGTAAACAGAGCTTTGCCTTACAAATCAGTTCCCTCTTCACTACAACTGACTGGCACAGAGCCTACACTGAAAAAAATAACTTGTAAGATGTCCTTGAAAAAAATCCTCTAACAAATTTGCACTAATGTTGGTTAAGTAAATGTAAATGCTACAAATTCATGTAATATTTACTCATCATTATCTAGTAAAAGTCATTAAGAATATAGTTAAGATTAGAGATGTGACGTTCGTGAACGATCCGAACCTTTTGAACGGCTCTTTACAACGAACGATAGGAGCTGAATCGCGGGCAGTAACGAGCCATTTGTAGTTTTATTTCATTATTTTTCATACTTAAAATGCTCCCACTTTGCTTTTTCACGGAAAACAGGTGGAGTTGTGGAGTACAGAAGCTCACTGTGAAAGGAAGAGGGGGGTTTCCGCTTGACAAACACATGGTTCCACCCACGTGACAGGATGACGTCATTACGTACGGCTACGTGGTGACGTATTTCCCTACGTGATGACGTAATACGTTCAAAATCAAACGCCTCTTTTGAACGGCTCTATGAAACAAATGACTCCCCAAGATCYGGATCCCTTCAAAGAAGCCATTTTTCCCATCTCTCAGATTTGTGAATAAATCAGGTAAATTTTACTTAATTTGCTCAATTAAATCTTGTAACATATACTTGATCAAAGTAAGTAAAATTTACCTGATTTATTCACAAATCTTTAACTATTCTTAAGAAATTTTACTAGATAATGATGAGTAAATATTACTTGAATTTGTAGCATTTAAATTTACTTAACCAACATTAGTGCAAATAGTTACAAGGACTTTTTTCTAGTAAATCTTACAAGTTCTTTATAACAGTGCACATGTGTCAAGTACAATATTGTAGCATGACACCTCACAGCTACTGAGAGAGGTGTAGCTCTTGTTGTAGTTCAAGA